TATATATATATATATATATATATATATATATATATATATATATACTGAAATAATATCATACTGAAATTATGATTCAGATTACATCAACTTTTGATTTAACCCTCAGAAACCCACTTTAGCAAAATGACAAAACTTTAAAAACATTTTTTTTTTTACAGTTAAATCTCTATTTTCCCCTAAACCTGTTTTGAGACTACAGCGGTTGGACAAAATAATGCGAACACCTGGGAAATAGGCAATATTTCATTTCATAGTACTTCTGTGTTGTTTGTGTGTGTTCGACGGTTCATTCTTTCATGGTTCAAGTCTTTCATGCTTTGTGTATGCAGTCATAAACAATTTAGAAACAATTTCTAAACCATGCTGAACACATCTATTACACCGATTTAAAAACTGGAGAATATGAACAGTAAAAAATAAAAGGTTGTTGCCTGCACAAAAATATACAAACCAATGAGAGTGTTCATATTGCATTTAACAGCAGCTTGGATATCTATCTATCTATCTATCTACGTATCTATCTATCTATCTGTCTATCTGTCTATCTATCTATCTATCTATCTATCTATCTATCTATCTATCTATCTATCTATCTATCTATCTATCTATCAGTGCTCTTCAGTATCAGTGATCATGTTCCTGAGGGCTAGTTGTCTATTATGTGAGATTATGTATTTGTTAACATTTTCAATCCCTCATTCGACCCGCAACCTCTATATACAGATTTCAATGTTAGTCGTGGATTGATGACTCTCAGTGACCAGACGGATCTGATATGCTGTCACAAGGATCAGGTTATGTGTTTTTTCTATGCTGATTCAAGAAACATTGGCCAGCAAAATTCCTCTGACAATTGCTGCAAACTTACTGTCAGTGGAGAACAACTGTTACAAGGAAAAGTTGGAGAGGAGCTCCGAACAACAATTAGCGTCCACTGTGAACCCAAATCTGACTACAAAATGAACCGAAATGTCACCATTACAGTGTGGAGGATATGTAAATAGTTTTTTAACCTTTGTAATGCTATAAAACACTTTTTTAAAATTCTTTATCTAGACATAGGGCACAGATTCAAAATTTGAAACAGCCTTTTCTGTTGTTCTCATCTTTAGCTCTTACTGGCAAATACACTCTTGTTTTTCTGGTTATTCTGGAGACACTCATTCTGCTCACTTTGCTCATCTTAATCATCATATATATTATCTATCTGACCAAAAAGCAAGGTAAGAAATGGCAAACATAACATTATCTTGTGTAATTCTGGTAATGTATGTCAAAGAATGACTTACACCTAATATCTTATATGTTTAGATGCTTTATAACCACCAACACAGTATATGCATTTTTTTATAGAATTACTGCCCAATGTCTTCAGTAGTATACAAAATGTATTTATTCATTGATTAATTTATTTGTTTGTTTTTTAAGGGTATAGACAAAAGTTTCATCCAGTGAGGTCAGTGCGTATTATGACTTATTCAGCTAAAATATTTGGTATAAACCTGCGGTTCTCTAAATGTTATGTTTTGGTTTCATAGTTACAGAACTCAAGTAGCGAACACTGGTGAGTGAGTTAGCAGAAATGCTCATAATGTCTGTAGTACTGGTACAAACTTGCACTGCACCTCTCTACTGTGTTTTTATAGTAAATGGATAATTCTGAGGTCATGATTGGTATGATGTTGAGGTGTGATTTATTTTAAAAGAAAATATCAAATTCTCTCTCTCCCTCTTCTTTTTAAATTTTTTTAGACAACCAAGATGCAGATTCTGTTATTGTTGAAGCGCAGGAAGAGAAAACAGAGGCACATATTTTATTTATTTATATTTGATTGCTTTTGAAATGAGAATGAAAACATGTCAGGGAGTTATACAGGTTTTACATTCACTTTGAATGTTTACATGTAACTACATATCAGTCACTATCTGCATTTCTGTTTTTATGAACATGATTTTGATAAATACTTATTTGTAATGTTGGATTTAAACTGAAAAGCGTTTTTTACATGTTTTTCACAGATAGTAGAGGATGAGCTATTATATGCCACAGTGAATCATTCAGGTGCTGCTGAAAATAACATGTTCTTGTTAGCAATGTTTACCTCCAAAGAAACGTGCAGCCATCATCGCTTTGCATCAAAATGGCCTCACATGCAAGGAAATTGCTACAAAGAATATTGCACCTGAAAGAACCATTTACCGGATCATCAAGAACTTCAAGGAGAGAGGTTCGACTGCAGTGAAGAAGTCTTCAGGACGTCCCAGAGTGTCCAGAAAGCGCCAGGACCGTCTCCTCCTGAGGAGTCAGCTACAGAATCGTGTCACCAGCAGTGCAGAGCTTGCTCAGGAATGGCAGCAGGTTGGTGTGAGAGCATCTGCACGCACAGTGAGGCCAAGACTTTTGGACAACAGCCTGGTGAAAAACGAAAAAGGACAGACTGAAATTCTGCAGGAAGTACAAGGATTGGACAGCAGAAGACTGGTGCAAAGTTATTTTCTCTGATGAAGCTCTCTTCCGACTGTTTGGGACATCTGGAAAATCGGTTGTTCGGAGAAGAATAGGTGAACGCTACCATGAGTCTTGTGTTGTGCCAACAGTGAAGCATCCTGAGACCATCCATGTGTGGGGTTGCTTTTTCAACCAAGGGAGTGGGCTCTCTCATAATTCTGCCCAAAACACTGCCATGAATAAAGAATGGTATCAAAACGTCCTGCAAGAGCGACTTCTTCCAACAAATTCATGAGCAATTTGGTGATGATCTGTGCATTTTCCAGCATAATGGAGCACCATGTCACAAAGCAAGAGTGATAAAGAAGTGGCTCGAAGATCATTACATTGAAATTTTGGATCCGTGGCCAGAAGTCAAGTGGTCAAGCAGAAGCACAAATTGTGATAAACTCTGAGAACTAATAAGGCAAGAATGGATCGTCATCAGTCAGGATTTGGCCCAGAAGCTAATATCCAGTATGCCAGAGGGAATTGCAGAGGTTATGAAGAACAAGGGTCAACACTGTAAATATTGACTCATATTTTGTTTTGCCAATAAAAGCCTTTAAAACTTATGATATGCTTATCATTGTTTTTCAGTATACTAAACATGTGGAAAAATAATCTTCAAATACTGAAGCAGCAAACTTTGCAAAACACAAAATGTATGTCACTGCCAAAACTTTTGGCCATGATGACTGTATTACAAGCATGTGTGATAATACCCCCATTAAGTCCTTATCGATCGATCGACTGACTGTTGTAGTATTGAAATCATGTTGTGCTGTATGAGTCCACTAGATGCCGATATCTGCCGTTGGCAAACCAAACTCACTGACAAAATGCAAATTATTAAACGTTTCTCTGTTATTAAGCTTGTTGTGGAAAACGGTATGTAGTGGAGACTGTCTGCGTTATGAGAGTACAAAATAGTATGCTAATTACATTGTCCAATCGGCCTGTAATTGATTTGTGAACGTGTCAAAATGTGACGTGAAGGTAACTTATGAGTTCTATCTCTACCACTTTCTTTGTAACTTACTAACCACACAATAAATTAACTTCGAATATTATACTGTTATGTAGACACTGTAACGAATGTCTAATTGTGAATTTTACTTCAGAATAGTAACCAACCCCAGACAGGATGGAAAGAGCGGTTGGAGGCAATAAAGGTAACGCTTCACTTGTAAAACACTGAGCTAATTTCAGTGACATATCTAATGGTGCACTCTGCATTTTTTTTATACACTAAGAAGTTTTACACATAAAGAAACTAATAATACCATTGCACACTCGCGTGAGATAAAGACATCTCACATCAGTGGCCTCGACAATAATATTGACTTGCCATGTTAGCTACTACTCGCTTTACCCATAATTACACCTGTTATTTGACACCTTTTTGGAACAAATCGCATTATAGTTGACGGCAAATACCTCTTTGATGGAATTTGTAACTGAAAACGTTTGCTTTTGTGAGAAACGACATACTCACTGTTAGATGTCTCGATTAGTCCAAATACATATCTATATCAGCCAACAAAACATAGATCATGCACAATATATCACAATATAGAAATATATAAGACCAGAAAAAAACTGTCTGTTAGCATTCCCATTCATCAATGGCAGTTGAAATCTGTCAACTTTGCTAATGCATGTTTTTTTTATTTTTATCCATGTGACTAATCACTCTGAAACCACAGGAATATCAACACTGATGGGTCCAATTCATGCTTTTCAAAGCACTGCCAAAATTAGTAACTGGGAAATATCTATTATTATACTATGCGTTTATGAATTCTATGTTGATTTGTATGTTAGATCAACCCCAAACATCTTAAAACATCCAAAACCAACCTAATTACCAGATTTCCACCAAATATGTGATGTATTTTGTATATGCATCATATAATAGGTTTTTACCAAATACAGTATGTGATGTAAACAAATCATAGACTGTCACTGTAATTACAAAGTTTTCCCCTTTTCCCAAAGGCAATCGGTAGATAATTTTGATTAGAGGAAGAGAAATCAAGCAGATGAAGGATAATGTACAGCCTAGTGTCATGACAAGCATAAATAAATGACTGATCTGTCACATGACTCAGCCATCATTCTCAGAGGCAAATGCTTGCGCCTACATTTCACTTCAGATGGGCTCTGAATTATAATGCACTGGCTCCTGTTTACATGACTGTTATTCCGCAATCTCACATTTTGCACAGTATTGTAACATAAACAAGCAAAAATAAATAGCACACTGTATCCCACATGTTCACTAGTAACACACAATAATTTGCCATTACTGTATGAATAACAATACAAGAGAAGAACAGCATGTGAGCTCTGGGAAGCATCTGGATGGTTCCATAGGGTTTTCCTTGACATAAAGTGACTGGTACATATCTCGGTGGAATAAACGAGTGACAATCTCTCTCTCTCTCTTTGTCATATACAAACATTGTCTTTCTACCATACTCTGCAGGTCAAAATGGACTGAATAAATGCATAGACAACAATGCACAAGCCCTTTCTCGTGGAAAACCAGTCTGGTGAGAGAGAGCGAGATTTTACATGCAGTTTTTATGTGGTAAGCTTTTATGGCTTTAAACCCTATTCATTCCTATTCATTCTTAAAATTGTGAATTTGTGCACTGATTGTTTCACCTACATCCTGCAGATCTGCACAAAGAAGACAACAATAATAACAACAGATGCGCGGTAAACAGTTGGCAGTATGAGAAAAATGGGAGACTGTGAGTGAGAAAGAGAGAGACGGAGGGAGAAAAATCGAGCTGCTGCAGTATCCCTACACTGCTGAGGCTTGGACTGCGTGACTGACTGGTGTGTTGCAAGAGAGAGAGAGAGAGAGAGAGAGAGAGAGAAGAAGGGAGGGGGATGGGAAGGATCTTGCCTGTATGAGGAGCAAGCAGGCAGGCAGGCAGCAGCATCATCTCTTTTGTGGCGTGCTGCTGAGGGAACTGGCTGCCTAGAGCCGTGCAGGGCGCTCACTCCTCTTAGGCGCGCACAGCGCCACCGCCTCTCACGCACTGGCCACCGCAGGGACAGTGACAGCCTTCTTTACAGGCACAGTACTGCTTGTTGCAGCGGCACCATGGCGCAAGCTGCTAAGCAGATCCGCAAGAACAAGGACCTACAGGAGCTTGCAGCTCAAGAGCTGCGAGAGAAGGAGGAGGAGAAGATCAAGAAAAGGAACAGATCGAGAGACCGTAGACGCAAGGTAACAGAAAAAACCCCCTCCTTCCTCTTTTTTCCGTATCGAGGAGGATACGCACACCTTCACACATATCACTGACTGATTGTGTTTACCAGTCAGCTAGAGCTGGTCGTTCACAGATTATGTTTGAGGAAGATGCTGAAATCTGGTGGGGCGGACAAGGGGGGGGGGGGGTCATGACTGAGATGATTGGTTAAGTAGCCCCTCTGTCCTCAGGGGAACATCCTGCTCAATCGATTTAGAAGCAAATGCTGTTTATGACTGATGCTGCATCAAAGCAAACTGATTGCTTTATGTATTCAGATGCAGCCGCCACAGGCTTCATTGTTTGTTGCGTTCCCTCCGCCTGTCATTGGCGCACTACACCACCTCATATCGATGCCGTAAGCGTGAACTTTGGCAGAACGTGAGCATAATGTCTGCACCTGCCTCTGCCACCCATTCTCATTACAGTTTGTATGATGGTATGGGATCTGTAGTGCATTATGTGAGCACTGCTGCTCTGAGCCCTCTGGCTGCCTATTCTCCTTCCTTACCTTCCACCAATGTGCATGCGATAATGTATGGTTGCATGCATGCAGATTTTGGCTTCACACGAGAGCAGGGGGAGCCCAGAAGTACACGTGACTCAGGTTCAAGCCGAAGACAACAAGATCGGCAGAGGCCGGGGTGATGGCTCCGTTCCTGTCTGCTCACCAAGGCTCATAAAACCTGTCAGCTTAGCATTTATCAGCATGCTCGCGTAACTACACGATCGGGCAGAGATATGTGGCCGGCGGTGGTAGAATGTCAGTGTAGCGCCAATTAACAGAAGCGAGTTGGTGACACACAGGCAGTGACACTGAGGGCGAAAAAAAGATCTGGAGTCTAAAGATCACTTTGAAGACTGTCCTTGAGGGTTTGCTGTTTAATCTTCAGTGGGACGTCTGATGGAGCATTTGTCAAGGCTGTCAGTGACCCCTTGAGATTGCACAGGGGTCTGGAAAAATGAAGTCGGGACGTGTTTGATGATACTGTTGCTTTTTTGATTTGATTAAAATGGTGCTATGTTTAATTAGCAGTTTAACACTTACTCTCCATATGCAACCCTTGAGCTTCTTTCATAATAGTGTATTTGGGCATAATTGTGTTAAGTCAAAATGCATACTGTTTGTTTCCTTAGGCCTAATAGCATGACGTGACCTTACAGTACAGCTAATGCAAAATGCATATGTTTGTATGTGCTTAACTGAAAATTGTGCAGCTTCAGGCGTAAACCAGTCTGTAACCCTGTACATGAGTTCAACCATTGGCACGCAGAAGGGTAAATACTGGCATATAAACAAAGACGGAGAAAGAGAGGAATATAATATGATTAGACTTTTGCGGTTTATTTTAGAAAAGTTGAAAGCAAGGTCTATAATTAAAAATCAATAAGAGGAAGTAAAGAGTTAGTAAATAAATAAAACATTACAAGATTTGAGTCAAGAATTATACTCTGGCCCTTGCACATGTAGGTGACATTTGTGATTCAAATAGCTATGTCTTCTAACAGTTTCCATGAAACAGATGTAGTGATAGATCTTTTCTTCTGTATTGTGATGTAAATCTGTGTGTAATTGATTATCAAAAAAGAAAAAAAATGTAGGGCAGGGACTTGGTCCTATCCATCAGTTATTGATTGCATTTTGTGATTTCTGAGTTGCGATTAAAAATAAATGTGAGCTTGCTGTAGATTGTGGAGGTGCAGGGTTTAAGCGAACTAAATGATTGGAGAACTCCAGCATACCTCACAAGAAGGATGATTGTTTTCATTGGAAAATCGAGTTATGACATTTTGATTTAGCGTTATGAGATCAAAACAAAAAATGTAAAGAAAAAATGAACATACAGTATACATGGAGGAGTCATTCACAATAAGATCTGTAGCATGCATTTACAAAGTAGATTGAATTTTCATTTCATGCAGACTTTCACATTTATCATCACAAAGTGCTTTTCCCCCCTCAGTAGTCATTGTGGTGCAGTGATTGGCACGATAAATTAAAATTGGCACTCAAAGATTCCAGACCCCTGGCACCCTGACAAGTGTCATTGTGTTCCTGAAAACGTGTCAGTTTCGCTGAGGTCTCAAAGCATTTTGGACGGTCTGTGGCCTTGTGAGATTTCAGCTGTTGGTGGACAAACAGTTGTGTTGTGATTTTTACACATCCCTGAGGTGGATGTCCGGAGAAAGTGTGAGACGCAGAGAAACTGGCTGTGTTCCGAATGGATTATTAGCTTCTACTGCATACTGCATAATAAACTGTATACAAAATACATTTTTTTGTAAAGCTGTATTCTGCAACTTTAAACATATCATATACTACAGTATATTGTTGTCACATTACCTTATTATGTGAATGTTTAATTCAGCGAGTTGCATCTGCATATTTTTTTGTTAAATTTAAAATCAAATTTTGTGCAGAAATGTCTTGTTAGAAAAAGTTGCATAAGAAGTTGCAGTGCACAAACTTACTGTTCATTCGTCACACCGGAAATAGAAGTTTAAAGGTGCACTAAACGATTTTTGAAAAACGCTTTTGACCACAGTCAAAAAACAAACTCGCAGCCAATCAGTATTAAGGGGCGTGTCTAGTAATGATAGGGAAAAGAGAGCGCTCAGTGAGTGCACAGGATGGATATTAGCAGATTGACTATAGATAGTGAGAGATGGCAGATAAAAAAAGAGGAAAATTTCAGTAATAAAGAGTAATAAACCTTTAAAAAGAAGGGTTACAATCAGGCAAGAGGTAGGACCCGCGTAAATATTGAACCAGCTTTCCAGCGGTGGAGAGAACTCAAGGAGCGGAAGGGAATCGGACGCCAAGGTTGCTTTGTTTCTTCTTGATAGGTGAGTTACATTGATTGCTTTTTCAGACATATTTTCTGTGTTGGCTTTTGCTTGAATATGCTGCGGCCGGCAGGCATAGCAGATTCCGCCATCGTCGCTGCCAGGGTTGTGTATGTACATGTGGGGCGGAGTTATCAAAATAGGGGCGAGGTCCTGTTGGGGTATGGGCGTGTTTGTTTTGGTGCTTTCTAGGCTTGCCGTGATAGACAGTGCTGACGGTGATACCGCTGTTAAACCGCAACAACGGTTACGTCACTTGCCCACCGCGGCACCGACCTTGGCTTTTGCTTGAATATGCTGCGGCCGGCAGGCATAGCAGTTTACTGCCATCGTCGCTTCCAGGGTTGTGTACGTACTTGTGGGGCAGAGTTATCAAAATAGGGGTGAGTTCCTGTTGGGGTATGGGCGTGTTTGTTTGGTGCTTTCAAATATCAACATCGTTTGACAAAAATCGCCTTTAAAGGGTTAGTTCACCCAAAAATGAAAATTAGCCTGTGTTTTACTCACCCTCAAAGCATCCTAGGTGTATGTGACTTTCTTCTTTCAGATGAATCCAATCTTTTAGAGTTATATAAAAAACTGTCCTAGCCCCTCCAAGCCTTTCAATGGGGGTAAGCGGGTGTAAGATAAATGTCTATATTTCAAAAGTAATAAACACTTTTTTCTCACTTCCGCTGACTGTCATACGCGGAAGCCGTTCCGGCGGATGACGTAGGACGTCGACGTTGCGTGATTAGTGACGAACGCGGAGACAAAACAAAACGCCGTTCACAAATTAGAAGAACAATATATATAATTCAATGGGGGTAAGCGGGTGTTGGTTGTCAACGGTTCAGAAGACGTGAAATAAAGTGTGTGCATCCGTAATAAAACGTCCCTCACACGGCTCTCGGAGGGGTGAATAAAGGCCTCCTGTAGCGAATCCATGTATTTTTTTAAGATAAATGTCTATATTTCAAAAGTAATAAACACTTTTTTCTCACTTCCGCTGACTCTCATACGCGGAAGCCGTTCCGGCGGATGACGTAGGACGTCGACGTTGCGTGATTAGTGACGAACGCGGAGACAAAACAAAACGCCGTTCACAAATTAGAAGAACAATATATATAAGCCAAGAGGAGACTGGTTTTCCTTTGCTAAAGTAAGGAAACTTTGTTTCCTTTGCTCCTGCATTTCTCAGAGGCGCGTGCACAACGCATACGTCTTACGTAATCCGCCTGAACGTCTTCCGCGTATGACAGTCAGCGGAAGTGAGAAAAAAGTGTTTATTACGTTTGAAATATGGATATTTATCTTACAAAAATGCATGGATTCGCTACAGGAGGCCTTTATTCACCCCCCGGAGCCGTTTTATTATGGATGCGTGCACTTTACTTCATGTCTTCTTGAACTGTTTACAACCAACATCCGCTTACCCCCACTGAACGGCTTGGAGGGGCCAGGACAATTTTTAATATCACTCCGATTGGATTCGTCTGAAAGAAGAAAGTCACATATACCTAGGATGCTTTGAGGGTGAGTAAAACATAGGCTAATTTTTATTTTTAGGTGAACTAACCCTTTAAGTGCAATTCATTGTGGGATGTAGTATCTAGCTTAGTGTCTAGTGTCTGTATATACACCTTTTAGCCTATGCAGCAGATCATGTGGCGATACTATAAAAAAATAATGGTTCTTTATTGACATCTTTGGTTCTATGAAGAACCTTTAACATCCATGGAATATTTCCATTCCACAAAGGATCTTTTCACTGAAAGGTTCTTTGGGGAATCAAAAATGGTTCTTCCATGTCATCACTGCGAAAGCCCCATTTTGGAACCTTTACCAAGTATACATACATACATACAGTTTGTTTTCTCTACAAAGAATGCGTACTGCAGAAACAGAACAGTAGTATGCTATTTTGAACATAGCCTTTAAGAAAGACACAAGGCCTCTTTAATTCTTAGAAATTGCATATAGTAAATCATTTACTAGCTGCATTGGTGCTTTGTATTATTTTTACTTATAAAAGATGGTATCTGAAGTAGTGCTGCTGTGTACAACACAGTATTAATTACCCCACAGTACTTTCATGTCTCTAAGCTGATGTGTGTAAGATCTTATGCATCACATACATATGGCTTACACA